CCCCAAAACCCCAAAACCCCATATTCTAAGATAATTGATTAATGCAAGTATATAATAAATTATAAATTTATAATGAGTTCATCTATTTCCACAGAAAACAAAGCTAATGGTTCTGAGACTCCTAAGGTATTTTTACCTCCTAAAATTAACCAAATTTAGCCTTAATTTTTGTCTAAAAAACAAAGAGAAGAATTGAAAAAGAAGCAGGAAGATGAGGATAAGCATTAAGAGGAGGAAAAGTAAAATTAATTATGTTATTACATATTATTCAGATTAATGGAAATTGAGCGCAAACGAAAATTGTTTTTGAGTTCTTAAAGTTAATAGAAAAATGAAAGAGATAAAGAGAGGGAAAGAGATAGAAGAAGGTCTTGAAGTAGATCTTATGACGGATAAAGATCTTATAGAAGAGATGACAGAGATAGGAATCGTGATAGAGACTATAGAGATAGAAAGGATGATCGTGATAGAGATCATAGAGGAGATGGTGATAAATAAAGACGAGATGATGAAAGAAATGTAAAGGTAGATTAACGAAGAGTCGATGAGGAAAAGAATTCAGCAAAAGATAAAGTTGAAAAAGATAAAAAACTCTTTATTGATGAAAGAGAGATTGAGATGATAAAGGGTAAATATCTTGGAACAATTAAGGAAAAGAAAAGAGTGATTAAGCCGAGTGATAAATTCAAATAGGTATTTCACTTCGAATGGGATGCCAGTGAAGATACATCCAAGGATATTAATCCATTATATTCATAGAGGCATGATCCTAAACTCCTATTCGGTAAGGGATTTGTAGGAGGAGTTGATCATGACTTTTAAAGAAAGAAATACGGCAATGGTGATGACAAAAAATTAGAGAAGGATCAGAGAGTTTCTCTTGAGGAAACGATGAACAAACCACTTTTAGAAATGACTGAGAGGGATTGGAAGATATTCAAAGAAGATTAGGATATTATGACAAAGGGTGGAAGAATACCTCATCCCATTAGAAACTGGGATGAAATCGAAGACTTAGATCCATTTTTAAGGGATAATATAGCAATTTGTGGTTATAAAAGACCTATGCCTATCTAAATGTAAGGCATTGCCATAGGAATGAACTGCCGAGATATGATTGGACTAGCTCCAACTGGTTCTGGTAAATCTGCAGCATTTTTAATCCCATTAATTAACTTCATGCTGAAACTCCCTCCCATAAGGGATGAATTGGTTTAGGATGGACCTTATGCAATCATAATGGCACCATCAAGAGAGTTGGCTATATAAATTGAGACAGAGTTTAGGAAACTTGCAAATGAAACTCCACTAAGATCTTAAATTGTTGTAGGAGGTAAGAGTGCTGAGGAGTAAGGTTCAAGTATTTCAAGAGGAGTTGAAATAATTATTGGTACTCCTGGTAGAATTGAAGATTTGGTTAAAAGAAGATATCTAGTGCTCAATTAATGCTATTATGTGATCCTTGATGAAGCAGATAAAATGATAGATTTAGATTTAGAAGAATCAGTAAACTTTATCTTGGAATCAATACCTAGCAATCTTTAGAAAGCTGATAAGGAAAAAGATGTCGCTTATTAAGAATAGTAAATTTTGAGAGGAGAGAAATTCTTCAAAACGTTTGTAATGTTTTCAGCAACGATGCTTCCATAAATTGAAAAACTAGCTAGAAAATACCTAAGGTCTCCAGCCTTTATAACTATTGGAGAGCCTGGAGGAGGAAAGAAAGATATTGAACAGAGAATAGAATTTGTATCAGAATCTCAAAAGAGAAGCAGGCTCTAGTAGCTGCTAGATAAATTTCGCCAACCTCCTATTATTATTTTTGTGAATCAAAGAAGTGATACTGAACACTTATCAACATTTCTTACTAAAGTAGGCTACTCTGTAAATGCTTTGCATGGTTCTAAGACTCAATAATAGAGAGAAGCTGCCTTGAACTCATTAAAGAGTGGTAGTATTGATATACTAGTCTGTACAAATGTTGCTGCTAGAGGTTTAGATGTAGATAATGTAGCTCATGTTATAAACTATCATGCTCCCCAGAATATTATTGACTACATTCATAGAATCGGGCGTACAGGTCGTGCTGGTAGAAAAGGTATGGCAACTACCTTCCTAACTAATGCTGATGAGTCAATTTTCTATGATCTCAAAAAATTCTTGCAAGATAATGATCAGCCAGTGCCTAATGAGTTGGCAAATCATAATGCAGCAAAGTTTAAAGGTGGTCAAGAGAACATTGGCGGAAATGTCGGAGCACCTTCTAAAAATAATGTGGTCCCAACCAGCACTCAACAAAATAAGTTACTATGAGTTGGAAGATTTAAACTAATTAGTCCTAAAATTAATCTTAATTTAATCAATTATTTAATTCTCAAATGCAAAGAATGATAACTTCAAGGAATTGGATTTATTAATTTATAAATTAAATGAGTGAGGA